GTTGCGCCCGCTGATTATCATACGCGAGATACGCTGCACACTTCTCGAAAAAATCTTCATCGAGTTGTTTCTCGCACACATGTTAAAACACATTTTGCGCGTTTCATCTCACCTCTTCACTGTTGTACCTACTCCGTGTTTTTGTTCCATCCTCTTTATAAATAAATACGTCACAGATGGCCTTCCGTCAAAAGCGTGTCCCGTGATACAATCGATAACGTTGTGCGGTTGCAAAATTACTCCGGTTTCCCGTTTTAACTCGTTCTTCACGTCTTTTTATAAAAACCGCAGACGCGTTAAATAATATTTCCGAGCGCAAATAACATTGGTTTGTTCAATTTTTTTATTTCACGTGCATTGTCGTCTATGAAGCAGTTGAATTGTTGAATCATCATCGCAATCACTTAACGGAGAAAACGAATTATATTCGCGCTGCGCTCGCCGTTGCGAGTTCAATTAGAAGGCAGTTATACGCGCGCGCATTCAAACGTATTGCCTCGGTCAAATTAAATCTGTGCGCAGCGTTTTACAACGTCGCAGACTAATTTGGTCCGATCAAAGCCATTTAGCACCGTCGTCAGACGGTGATCTCTCACATTGTTCGCCCTCCCAGTCGTTCCTCCCTCATCGCTTGTTGTTGATAAAGACGCGATACACGCCCGTGCAACGCCGATGAATAGAGCGGCGTGCGCGAAACATGCGACCGTTTTACTGAAGTGCATCGATGTAAGCCTATTACCGTACTAAGTAAACAGTCCCCGCTAATCCGATTGCGTCGAGAGCGCTTACTTTCGCACGTTTTAGCCATTAGCCGGTCATCGTGGTGATAACCCGGACACAGGCGCGGGTCGCACGCGCGAGAGGGTTCCATTATTTTCATTCGACCATATTATTTTAATCGAGCACGTGATCCCAGATGCGATCGTTTCCACGAGGAGAGGTGGTGTCTGGCACAAAAAAAAAATAACGAAGATCAGCTACTCGCGCGTGGCAAAGCCCGCTCTATCGATGATCCTTCACGACGGACACGTGAGGTGTAATCTAAAATCTGTTCTCCACAGAGAGAGAAAGAGCGCGGTCTAATACATTAATATCCCTTAATGCAAAAGCGCTCTTGACGCGACGATAACCTCGTGAGTCATTTCTGCGATCATCTTGTCGGCACACTTGCTCGATAGCCGTTTTGTAATCCGCATTGGGAGAAAACATGCACGAAATATTCCATGGAAATATTGTAATCAAGACCAATTCTCGCGCTATTACGTTACATCCAAGTTTGGAGCGTGTCTCTTCATCATGTATAATAAATTTCTACTACGAAAGAGAGAGACGATTATCTGCAATTTTCTTCATCGCTTGACGTAATGTTACCCATGCGGACCCAAGTAAGTTCGCGCGGCTGCGCTTATATGGTCACTCGACAATTTTCTGCGAATCGTCTCGCACGTGATGTGTATATCGAAGTTGTTTGATTTTTCTTTAAATGCCTTCGCATTAACTCTCGCGCGCTAATCCAGATATGGCGAAAATAAGAGGGAATACATGTACATAATTAATTAGGAATTAAAAAAGAACGTGTGTTTATTTTTCATACATATCTCCTTTAAAAGCCAATCCAGAAGCGGTTATTTATAACATGCGGTGGTGCACGGAGAATGCGTTTTGCCGATATATCACTGATCGCATTCGTTGCAGCACGGAAAAACTATTTTTTATTTTGTTAGGAAACGTTAATTATAACGTTATTGTAAGAATTTTTTTCTGTACACTCGACAATTTTACAAACAAAACCACCTTCTAGCTTTCTGTTAGTTTCTTTGGATTGATGACTGATCGATACAATCTAACATCCAGGTTTTCTCATTTCTGTTTCGATTGCCGGCAATCGCGCGGTTGCGATATGCAGTCGCTGAGGTGAAAGTGACGTTTAAACGAGCAAATCATATCCTTTATAGAAGATGCTTGCGTACACGTCTGGCCTCGATCTTAAAATAATAGAGCACCTCGGATTATTACGCGTCGATTTTTATTTTAAAAACACGGAGTTTGCGCGTCAAATTGGTAAACATCTAAAAACGTTCGTTTTTCTTTACGCGCAATAAGAAAATACCTTCACACTCTATTTAAGATTCACGGTTCGATAATTTATGCACGCTAGTTCGTATGCCCAAAATACATATAAGACACGTTCTAGATGTGTTCTCGTGAGAATATATCTAGGAATTTAAATGGGAACCGAATTTAAAACACGTCCCTCTTGTGAAAAAAAACCGTTCTCATGTGTCACGACCAGAGGTGAAGACACGGTCGCGTAGGGGACGCGTTTAGATACTTCGACCAATATTTATTATCGTGTGAAGCTAGGTCAACGCGCTCTCGTAGTTTAAGAGTTTTGAGAGAAAGCCAATAGTTTGTCTAAATTATTGTCGATGTCAGAAATGAAGAAAAGTAGAAAAACATACATATACCCGAACTCTCGCATCAGACGAAATTGGCGGTGGATGCATCTGTGGAATTTCTATTTTCTGAAAATTTATGCATTCTCGATACGTATGCGTGTCGAGAAACGGTTTACGAGTGTACCAATTTTTACTAAATCACATGTCGGCTAATGTCAGCTTTAGAGATGGAAACATTTCACACACAAAATGTTCTCTCGATATGGAAGTTTTTTTTTTTTATAAAATACACGCGCGCGCGCTAACTAAATTCTGCGAACATTAACTCTTACTTTTGACAGCTTGTTAAGATATTCGTTAGAATATTATTCTCGTCTTTTTGCACTGTTTTATAAAAATATGTGTAAAGTATTTTGACATATGTTAGTTAAAACGACTATTGTTGCGAGTTATCTTTCACATGTGTTATAATGACCTTGGCGAGCTATGAATAATCATTAACACGTTCGCGTTAACGACGGTTGAAATCGTTTGTTAAACGTTTCTCAATTTTCCGCGAACAGATGTGGTGGTCGGTTACGGGCTTGCGGAAATTAATGTGTGTCCCGTAAGCTCGTATCTGCGGCGACCTATACGAGTCTGTTACTCGCGTTTATTATCGCGATTTTGAATTATCTGATAGGTTCGTAAACTAACTCGATAAAGTTCTAATTATGTTCGACCGTAACAGCGTGGCGCACTGCACTTGATAGATATCTGGTTATCCATCGCGGCTTCCGCACACACACATACACACACGCACACGCACACATACGCATATCACATGATGCGCGATGTCACTTACTCTGGAATTTTGATACGACCCAGATGCGCTGCGCGAACACGTGCGAGTGATAACGGAGCATGGTTAAAAACCGCTTATATTTCAACGAGAGGTATTTTTTAATCTATTATACACTTCGTGCGCGCCGAAATGAAAATTTCAACATTTCGAGAGAAACTCTTTCTCTCTCGGATTTTGTTACCGCGTGAATTTGACGTGGACTCTTTGATATATTAAAAATATGTTTTAATACGAGGATTCAAAACGATGTCGGTACATTTTGTAAATATTTGATCAAACATTTGACGTCAGAATATCGTGTGTATACGTATCGGAAATTAGAATATCACAGTGCGCCACATTCGAAAATCGATATTGCGTAACACATGTGACACAAAATCCCATTTCGAAATGGTAATTCCTGATTGTTCGAAATTCGTTATTTATGATTACTTTGAGCGAGTGTAGCAGCCCAAGAGGATTAATCGGCGCTGTATAATTATTCGAAATTACCAGGGGAGGAAACGTCACACATTCATCGGTATTTCGTCAGATTTCAACGGAATAATTACTCAACGTCAATTCGCGAGCTCTCTGTTGAACAAAGAGTTTGCACATGTACACATGAGATGTACTTCGATGCGATGCGCAATGTGACGAAGACCATAGTTACGTCAAATGATTTGTTTTTCAACAATTTGTTTCCGTAAAATTTGTTTATAAAACGAATTTTTTTGGTCTTATTTAACTTATCTCCTTTTAAATGGTTCGGAAAAATTACGACGTGATAATGTGCGTTTAGTCAGGTGACACAAGGCCGATTAATTAATTTCGCGGATAGCGAAAGGAAAAGCTAGAGGGAAACGTCGACGAAACGAAAAAGGGGAGAAAAACTCGGAGAACGGAAGGTTCTCCTTATAACGTCTCTGCGCTTTCGATCTGTCGACCAGCTCTTTAGGGGTGCCGACGATTCGAAGGGTAGATTCGCGGTCGACATTAGGGGAGAGACCGGAGGAGGGTTCCGATATAAAAGATTCTTTGGGAACGGGTCTCAAGATTCGATCACAGGGCTTTGTCGAGCCGGCGACTTTGCGCAACGGTCGCGCCAGACACTGGCCGCTCCGCCGCGGACATTTTCTCAAGCTCGGTTCGACAACTAATCCGCCGGGAGGATCTCCCTCGGACGCGTCCTCTGAGAATTCGCAGAATTGCCTTGACTGATTACCTGGTCGTCGAACCCTTATCAGGAGACAATTACGAGCGATGAAGATGTTTTCTCTCGCTGCCCCGATGTCACTTCGAGATTTTCCAGCTAATTTGACTTGCAGTCATTTTCTACGACTTTGCGGCATTGTTACGTTTGACATTATTACAATAACATTCGGTTCTATTTCGAGAGTTAACTTGTTTACTCGCGGAAAAATTCTTATATTTATCAAGAAAAGAAAATTAAATTATTTTATTGATTTTACAAACGAGTTAAGTTAAAATAACATAAAATTACATAAATTACACGATTCACCTTTTTTATCTTATAAATTTAGATTATAACCACTTTCTTTCGTCTCTCTGTAATTTCATCACTAGATAATATCTTACGTGAATCTCGCAATTTTCATTTCACATTTTATGACTAGACATCAGGCCGACCCTACGTCCATCCGTCATGGGCGGTTGATCCGTCGCCACTCTCGGGGGAGAGTCCCTTAGTTAATGCCGCTTGAACTACGCGAATCACAGAAGATAAATTAGGAATTTTTTTCTCTTCGTTGTTACAGAAGCGCGAGAGGTCGCCGGGGAAAAGGATGGACAGGCTTCGACGGAGCTTCCGGGACAGCTTCCGCCGGCGGAAAGACCCTCACGTGCCCGAGTCTAGCAAGCCTCATCAGTGGCAAGCTGATGAGAGTGCTGTGCGTTCGGCTACATGCGCTTTTCACGTTAAGGTAAAACTCCGCACCCGAATTTATTTATTTAACTCTTTAACGGAGATAAAAAAAATTTATTTATGTATTTATTTACAATGGGTATAATTTACATATGTACTTGTTAATTAATTTATTAATATTTCTGTGTACAGTACCTGGGATGTGTGGAGGTGTTCGAGTCGAGAGGTATGCAGGTCTGCGAGGAGGCTCTGAAGGTTCTTCGAGTGAGTATACTTCAAACAAAAATATTTCTTGAAAAATTGATACATCTGTAAATTAGTTGAAGACCAGCACAGCTTTTTGACAAAAACAACTTTTTGATAGGCTTCCGTCGCTTTCTTCACGTTAAAAAGATTGAAGAAAGTTTCGTAAGCTTCGCGAAAGTTTGCCACGTCGTGTTCTCTCCAAGTCTTTCGCCTCGGTTATTTTTAGCGCGGTTTGCGCTTATAAAGAGTCGACATTGACACCAAGTAGCTGAAAATAAATCGGCGCCTGAGCCGTTCCGAAGGTCAGAGGGCGATTCGAGCATTTTCGAGTGAGGTATTTTGTACTGAATTTCCAGAACTCGAGACGAAGGCCCGTGCGCGCGGTGCTTCACGTATCTGGCGACGGTCTGCGAGTCGTAGAGGATGAGACGAAGGGATTGATCGTCGATCAGACGATCGAGAAAGTTTCGTTCTGCGCGCCCGACAGAAATCACGAGAAAGGATTCAGTTACATCTGCAGAGACGGCACGACAAGACGATGGATGTGTCATGGATTTTTAGCGTTGAAGGAATCGGTAAGTTAGATACCTTTTCATCCCTTATTCGAGGGGATGTATCAGATTATCTGTGCGGTACGCGAGGGATGTTTCGCTCCGTCGATAAGGGGTGAATTCGTTGGTACGTTATTTGAATTGAGAATATGTAGCATCAAACGATATGGCAGAGATTATTTCACAAAAGGAATAAACATATTTGATGTGTTTTTACAAAAAAAAAAAAAAATCCAAAATAAATTGGATATTCTAATATTTTCTGAGAAAGATTCTTTTATATGGTTATCGAGAGACGATACTTCCTTAACGGATGAAATTTTTGCATCATCTCAAGGGGGAACGATTGAGTCATGCAGTGGGCTGCGCTTTTGCCGCATGTCTGGAGAGAAAACAACGACGAGACAAGGAATGTGGAGTTACAATGACTTTCGACTCGAAGACTTCCACCTTCACGAGAAGCGGCAGCTTTAGGCAACCGAGTCTTACCGAGCGATTGCAGGAATCGCGCGATCGTGCAGTAGGTGAGTCACGTGTATTATCGTTTTTTTGAAAAAGATTTTCTATGTTTTATATCATTTTGTATAAATATAAAATAGTATATTAAAAATTTTTTCAATACTTTAAATAATTTACGTTTCAGATGTTCCTCCGGTTAAGCAAGTATTCAATCCCTTCGCAATCGAAAGGCCGCACGCCACTCCGTCTATGTTAGAGCGACAGGGTTCCTTCCGAGGTTTCACGCAGCTTAATCAAGCATCTCCATTCAAGAGGCAACTCAGTCTGCGAGTTAATGATCTTCCTAGCAACCTCGAACGCACACGTAGTCACAGTCTCGAGCCAACGGACTTGTCGCGAATGCCTTCAGCCCTCTCGCATATTGTACCTTTGAAACCTCCAGGTAAGTATTCGCATCTTATTTTTATTTTTATTTGTAAGAGTGATAAACAATCAACGAGCGAAGGAAAAATGGTTAAAATATTAAATGTAATCAATATGATTACTGAATAACGATATGTTTCTTCGTTTTCATAACAGAGTTCGAGGGATATGACGAAGGTCATTATTTCTATTCTGTTATTCTTGCTTGCTCTTTGATGTACCCCCCCAAAAACATGTTGGTTTTTTCCGTACAATACAATACTTCGCGCGTACGGTTACATTTAACAGACATAAAAACTGGTTTGACGACACCGCGCAAGCATGTAGATAGAACTTTCTCTCTCTCTCTTTCTTCTCCCCCCCTCCCCGCGATATTATCCCCTTGTACACTTTTACTTACCCCGATGTGTTTTTGCTCTTGCTTGTTAAAGATATTTAACGCCACATTCTACGTACCTCCGTCTCGTACTTTTCATTCCAATTATATTCCCGTGGCATGCATTATGCAGCATGCGTTCCTGCACCCCGTTGTGACGTTCTAAAGCTGCGCGCTGAATATATCGAATTAAACGCGATCTCTCTGCTTCTTCGTAGTGAGCCCAATACCAGAAATATCTCCGGGCGGTCAGGATAGCGTCTCCGCGATGTGTCAGCAGCTTTCTCGAGGGCTTTCTCTGCTCTCGAGCAGCGACGACTTCGGACCAATGCCACAATTATCTCAGCCTACCTCGAGCAACGTCGGCAAGCAGCTTTTCACCAGCTCTACCACTACTAGCTCTCCTCCAGGTACAGAGCAAAACGTGACACTGATCTTCGCTCTATTAATTATTTGCAGCACATCCTAACTAAGCAATTTGCGTTTTTCTTTAGTAACGAGTAGCAGCTCGTTGGATGAGATAAAACTGCAAAGCAATCCCGGTATCAACAACAACAACAACAACGACAACAAGAACGACGAGCTCAGTAGTCTGAACCACGTCGGGCCCAGCTGGCAGGAATCGGCATCTCCCGTTCTCGCGTCGAATCACAGGCTCACGCCCATTCTAAAGACAAGCAACTTGAGTCCCGTTCTTCCAAGAACGAACGCGCCCACTCCGGTCGTTATGAGCACACCGGCACCTGTCTCCTCGAGTGTGGGTGCCTTCGGCACGCCACCGCCGTCGGCGGCGAGTCCCGCTTTCAGCACGGGTTCTACGTCCTCGTCTTTAGGAAATACATCCACGTCGGCCGTGAACAGATCGCCCATTCCGATAAACTCAGTGATAACTCCGAAAACGAGTTCCCCCACTACGAGCGTGGCGTCCGTTTCATCGGCATTGTCCACCTCGACCGACGTCGTTCCAGTCTCATCGACAACCGGTATCCCAACGTCTTTGGTAAGAGAGTCGAACGTTGTATATTCACGTAGAGTTGAAAAATGTATTTCTCAATTTAAATTGTTTAAAACTTTACTTACGTATGTTTAAAAAAAATACGCAAACTCTTTTTGCATTCCACGTTGCAGAAAAGAAGTTTTTTTCCTGTTTTTCTCATTGTGTTCCGCAAGATCAACGCAGATTACATTGCCGACCGCGACGTCGTCTCTTCTCACGAGTTTCTCCATTCAACAGGTACAGCCGCTTTCCACCGCAGCCGGTTTACCAAAACCGGAACAATGGTTGGGTAGCATAACCAGCTCCGTGCCGTCACCGGTGCCGCAGCAGACCAGTCCACGGCGTGCACCCCCTCTTCACGCGAGAGCACTCTCGCTCGGCTCGGCCGCGATGAGCGGCCAGGCTTCCAGGAGTGGACCGTCCGATCCGTTTGACGTTGAATGGGCGGAGATCGCCGCCCGGAATCTGCGACAGGCGAGCACGACGAATCCCTTCATTATGCCGAACGCAACGCAGGCGTTCCAGGTGCAGTTGTAGCGTCAGGAGTTCATTAACAGCGTCGCCAAGTATTTCCGTTCGAGCACATAGCACGCCCGCTCGCGCTTCGACCCCGCGCACGATCGAAAGTATTACACGTGAGCCGCGTGTCTCCGTACCGATCGCAGTCTCTTAACACGATCGCGGACACGCGTCTCCGAGAGAAGGGAAAGAGATTGAAGGTAGCTCGGGGGCGAAGCAGAAACGACGGTTTTTCTTGTCGGCGGAAGTAGCAACGACGGTAGCAGCGAACTGAACCAGCACAAAAATATCAGCAGAATACTTTATAGGTAGATAAGTATACGCGCACACAGCCTTAACGACCTCAGTAAGAATAAAGATTAAAAACAAAAAATAAATAAACAACACGCATAAAGCAGACGTCCGGATGACGTGACACACAAAGCAAAAGAGGGACACAAAGTTTCACGCACCAGTAATAATAGATGTCGATCGAGAGTAAGCAATAGATGTCGCGAAGCATGCGACAAAACTCCTCGGCCTCGACGCCGATAATTATACCTAAATGTCTGTCACGCGATGTCGCAATTGGATATCCCAATTATCTTGCGTAGAGTTAGGCTCGAACCCCGAGCGGTTATCGTCGTTTTCTGCATGAAGAAAAAAAACAAAAAAAAAACAAAAAAAAAAAACGAAATTGTACGCACCCAAGATTACACTGCACCTTACTGTTTTTTCTTTTTTTTTAAAAAAAAAAAAAACGAAAGAAGTACATAGTGTAGTTTGCGCTTCGCGGTCCTATTCACGATCTGGATCGCGAGGCGCGAGATAATAAATCGTACCTTCCTTTCAAAAGAGAGGGAAAAACTTGCATTTCCGGCGGGCTCACCCGGCTCAGGTAAGCATGAGTGCGCATGAGACACGTCTTGTCAGACGTGAAACGCGATCAGAAAAGAATGTCAACATCAGCGTGACTGTGATATCGAACGCGCGAAGTGGCCAGTACTTAAGCAGAACAGGGTCGAAACGCGGATTGCGACGTACGATCGTGAGGAACTTGCTCAAAGTCGTCGCGACGAAAGCGAAGAAATGACGAACGATCGTGAGCTCGGGTTCCAAAAACTCTATCGTGCCGTATAACAGGCAGAAAGAAAAAAAACACTCATAGATTAATTAAGTAAATATTAGTTGTTGAAGGTTAGCAAAAAGACAAGTACGTCTTATACTATCGTTGTCTATTATAACACACGGTCGCGCGTGTTGCATTTACCGTAAAACAGACCGAGGACCGCGGAATATGATGATGACGATATGATGACGTAGAGTCATAGAAAGGCAGAGAGAAATTTCTCGCACTAGAACGACTTTAGCGCGCGACGGTGCTTCCGCTCTGCAATAATAAATTTGTGAAAATCGTTGGCTGAGCCGGTCCTCGGTGTGCGAGCTCGTATCTACGATCCGATCGCGGTCGACGGTGTACGTCGTAGCGAGGAGGATTTCCTATAGGTTCCACGTAGTAATTGATAGTATCCCGTGAGATATGTCAGTATTGCGTCTCGCAGCTTTCTGTCTTTCAAGCTAAAAACGGCTGCACTTTCGGTTTTTCAAAACGGATTGAGGATAAAACGTCGACAAGGGAGATATATATATTCAAGGAGAAATCACTGAGGCGTGTGTGTATGCATTGTACATAGAATTAGGTATATGAAATTGCAGAGAGAAATCGCGGAGGTCATTGAGCCGGCGACTCCGCTCCTACAGCGCGAAATATTGCTGAAACGTCGCAAGAATATTATTTTACACAAGAATGGAATGCAATATTCCTGAAAGATTGTCACAATGTGGATATTAAGTACGTCCGCTTCCAGAAGCATATGTTCCTCCGCAACGATGATGCTGATGTATTTCGAAATATATTGTAGATACAATATTTCCGCAACATTGATGCTATAATCATACAAATCCACCGTCGTACTTGTTATAATTTAGTTTAGATACAGGATATTGTCAAAGAATACATCTTATAATATTTCTGACATGTAATCGCAGCATATTATTGACACAATATTGTGCAATACCTATGGAATATTACATTTAAAATAATTTGTATAATATTTCTACATATTTATAATATATGTGGCAATATTAATAATATATAACTGTAATATATATATTTTCCTGCAAAATTTTAGCAACATTTCATGCTGTAGGAGCGCAATGAGACGAGAGGAACTCTTCCTGAATAAAGTTTTAATCGAAGCGTACAGTCGGGCTTCCGTGTGTCTTTTTCTCTCATCGGGACCGACTTTTATTTGTACAATAACAGTCAAATGTATGTGTGAGGACTGAAGAAGGCGTCGCACAAGAATAGACGAAATCGGTCCCAATGAGAAAAAATGCACGGGGAGAAGCTCGATTGCAATATTATCTCAACAAATTGTATAATAACGTTGTATTATATGAAATGTATAACTTATAATTTATTTACAAAAAAAAGTTTGGTTACGGCCCCGACCGGACATCTTGCATTATTGTTAGAAATAAAATAGTTTAAGAGAGACTTCGTGCAGTCATTCTAACAGAACAACACAAATACGTACGTAAATATGTTGTACACGTAAACATTCCTGTGATGCACATGCCGAAAAACTAATCACAATTAATCGTTGTTTGGTTGTGCGATTTTTTCTTACGTTTGTTGTTGAAAATCAATCTTTATTTAGTTCACGTTGAACGCGAAGCAGCAACATCTTCAACTTTCTTCCCACACGGCCAAACCGTGTTTAGAAATCGCTTCGATTGGCGTTGGACGCAATCGCATAACCGTTTAACAGAACGATAATTACGACAGCGAGTATACCGCGAGTTTCGCAAAAGAAACGCCGTCATCGCTACGAGTTCGGCAAAAAAAATGAACTTGGTTTTTCGAGCCGCTTTCCGTCCGTCCCGAAAATCAAAAGGTAACGAAGAAAAACGAAGTTGAGCGTAGGAAACACACTGTAAACAGCAGCACAGGGAGTGATATATTGAATATTTACTTGTGGTACTTATGTAAAACATCAGTTAAATTATCAATGTACTTAAATATTACTAAAACACGTAGGTCGTTGTTAGCGAGATCATCGCTAATCGACGCGTGTCGTCAATGTTTTTTTCTTTAATCGTTTTTTCTCTTTTTTTTTAATTTTACTTTATTGTTTTTCTCTCAGACTGACATCTTCTTCTCTCTTCCGTTCATTCCCTCGTACGTTTCTCAAGTACGGGATGAAACACGTGTACATAATGCGGTATAACGATTCGTTATATAATATTATACTACGTTCATGTACTTATTTGTTTGTTTTTTTTTGTCCTTTACGTGTCTCGATCGATGTACGCTCATTCACACAGTCTATTCGACTAAGGACCGAAAGGGTGCGACAGGGACAGCATCTTGAACTGTTCTCCGCTTCTTTATTGATAATTTATTCGGTGTTTTGTAATTTATAAACGGTGCAAGCAGGGGGTTGAATGTTGTTTTTTCATCAGAGAAGACGCGGAGATCAGCCAAGACGCGTTCCGGTGTCTCATCCGACTGAAATTGGCGAGCGCATATCTTAGAGAGGCAGATAATTGTGGCACACACACACACACACACACACACACACGTACACTTTAGAAAGAGACACCGGAACGAAAAGCATACAAGTGTGAATAGGTGCACCGCGTGCCAAATTAAAAAAAAAAAGTGCAACCGCGTTGCCTGCCACTTTGGACAGTACATCGCGCACGCTTCCGTGGTTGTGTTGTACATAGTATCGCCGGTCGATTCCTGGATCAACGTACGAATTAATGCGTGTATATTTCGTAAAAGTATCCTTGTTCATTTTACATTGTATCTGCCACTGTAAAAATACGATTTATTATATATATCTGTTGTGATTATCAAAAAAGAAACACGTCTCTCATTTATTTCGTCAACTCGTCCTTCTTCGAATTCTTTTCGACTCTTCAAGATGTGCTATTTTTCACAATTTTGAACACGCTAATAATAAATTTCAATCAGGATTAAATATATTTGTTGATAATTACAATTTTAATATTTCTCAGATATTACGCAGTACAGAGTGTACAAACGCAACACATACAACTCATGTTTTACATATGATTTTTAATAATTAATAATGTCATATATTAACGAATAATTAATGCAACAGTCTCTCTGTTTGCTTAACTTTAACTGTCCTATTTCATATTACATACACGGCCAAATAAATTATTGATATTAATTGCAATATGTTGTGTACAATCTCGCCATATTCACAATGATACAAAGATACACAAACCGTGACACAATTTTACATTGACATTTGTTTAATTATCAAAATTAACATTGTGCACTTTACAAAATACTTGAAATACAACACAACAAAACTCAAATATGTTGAGTCTTGAAGAAGCTTTTGCAAAATACCCACCTAGTGTTGCTTCACGTTGTTCTCCACGATCATCTTGCGTCCAACAACATTCATGCTTGAAATATGTATTTAACATGTCATCGTTTCCCAATCTATCTGCCGTTCAATTTCAACGTACATACGGCGATAACAGGTACGTTATACTTTAATTTAAAAATATATTATTATACTTTCAATTTAAAAAGCGCGATTAAAGAATCTATGAAATCGCTGATAATTTTTTACAGAACCACTTATTTGCCCTGCTATTTTCCTGTCGTACCACATTGTCATTATTCCAAAGAACCGAAATTTAAAAAAGTAGCAAGTTGTTGTCTGAAATGATTTGATTGCACCGGAAAACCAGTTTTTAAATATCACAATAATTGTAGCATCATCAATTAGCGATGTATATCAAAAATAAAATAATTGATTATCAGCAAAAATCTAAAGAACATGTCAATGCAAAATGTAGTAGTGTTAAAAATTTCTGTACAAAGTGTTATATCAAAAAATCTAGTTTTACATTTGCAAGACCACCGAAAAAATGATTATTATCCTTTTTTATATACGTATTGGCACAACACAAGCGCGCTAGGCGCACGTTATTGTTATTTTTATTTTAACGTGTTGTGTCAGTGAACACAACCTGTCACCGCAATGACAGCTATTATATACGTCTTACAAACAATATAATACACATGATGTCCATATGAGAGATGTGAGAAAATATAATAACGCATGAAAATCAAACTCGAAAAAAAAAAAAAGAGAATGGAAAAACAACACGTGACTAAAGACACGTGACAAGAAAAAGAGTAAAAAAGAGAATATTATATATGTATATTGTATATAATATTCTATATCTATATATTATACACACACACATGTATATACCCTGATAAGAAACCATTTCCAAAATTATGTGACGAAATCTTGCACTAAAATTGTAATTTGCAATTAAACAGATATATTTTAGGAAATAGATGTAAAAACATTGATCTTTTATAAAATATTTGTAGTTGTTGTTTCCAAAATTATTTTCTAAATACTATTTCGGCAAAATTAATGACAAAATTAATTTTAAAAAGAAATTGTTCAATAATTGAGTAAAAACTTTTAGCTATATAATGTTTACAAGATGTAGAAACATACCGACTTTTTTGCAATTTTTGACAAAAATTATTTACAAAATTTTATTTCCATAAAACTGTTGCGTTATGGCGAATCATCTTAGTGCAATCATTGCAAGATCGTCGTTATTCATGATGCCATTTTGGTGCACTATTTTCACAATTTGCCTATTAGGATATATATATACCATAATCACGTGAGTGATTAGAGACCAAAGTTAGAGACCCCGCCGCGGTCATCCGACTGAGGTCAGTAATCCCGCCACGGTCACCTAGCTGAGGTCAGTGACCACGCCAAGGTCGCGCGACCGAGGTCAGTGACCTTATTATAGTATGTATATAATACATATAATACAATATAAAATAGAATATTATAAATATATGTATAATATAATATATTGTATATAATATATATTATTTAATGTTATATATAATATAAATTACAGTCACGTTACGTTAGTCACGTGTTGTTTTTCTACTCTTTCCTGTCAAATGACTTTACTTTAGTCACGTTTTTAATTTTCTCCACGTATACGACGAACTGTCAAAATCGTTTTTCTGTTATTATTTACTCTCTCGATCTTACCGATTCGATTCGACTCGATCAACCAACCAACCAATCGGCAACGCGGAAAGGAAGCAACAATAGATGCGATATGAGGGAAAAGCCTACAACATGAATAACATTGCTTTTCTGAAACAAAAGATTGTTAATGAAGTCAATCGTGTTTGGGCAAAATATTAAAAACTTTTGGAAAAATATGTAACATATGAAGTTTCTAAATTTACTAAAGTATTTTGAAAAATATAAACTGGAAATTATTTTCTGTGTTACTTTATTTTCCGGAAAGAAGAAAAATGTCATGTCACAATATCTACAAAGAGACATCAAAGAATATCTCAAGTTCTTTACCCCCGCCATGTTATCACCTCAGACCGATACCATTTTATTGTCCGAGTGATGGCTGTCCGCCCCCGGAACCGAGTCTTCCTAAACGGCGTTGTTTCTCACTTTTATGCCCGCCATTGGTAATATCAAACAAGCATCTAAACAGATAAATATTGAATAAAAGACAAGAATAAAAATAAAAATAATCGTAAAGTCGATACGCGAGTAATTCTTTTTATACTTTCTTTTTACTGCAATTTTAATAGCAGCGCACAACCACAGTGAAATCTTGTATATCACATTTATTTAAATAAAAGAGAGAATACGTCACATACACGTGCGTTTTTTTTTTTACGATAACAGGATCTATTTTTGCAGACGTGCAGACCGCGACCGAAACGCTCACCGCCGCCACCTACTATATGCATTGCTGGACCTTGCCCAAAACGATCAGATCGAGAATCATATCGCTGCCCGTCAACACCAAAAATACCGCCACCAGTCTCCTGTGTTCGATTTTGCATTCGTTACACGAACGGCGGATCAAGCTGCTATCCTTGCTACTGGACCAATTTGTCAACGTGTTCTAGCAGCATCTGCTCAAGAACTATGTAACAATAAGCTCGGCACACAATTGAGAAAGAATCTATGACCACTTTCTAAAGTACTCGCAACTGTAAAACGAGTTAGTTGAAATTATCATTAAATGTAATTTCTGTTCATTGACGCTTTTTTGTTGGTTAAGTCGTAAATATCAAACGAGTTAAATGTGTTTCCAGTGCAAAAACTTCATTGTTCTTTAATTTGTGTTAATACACAACGCGATGTGTTTTTCTTAAAAAAACGTTTTGTTGAGGACAACCGCAATTGTAATTATTGTTTTAATACGTATCGGTTGACGCGCGACACTTCGTCGGCCATTTGGCGTTTGACAGGAGCCGTACGTCTCGCGCGCAAGCAAATCGCTCTCACCAAGAAATTCTATCGAAATTAGTTGGTGTCCGCGGCGCTAATGAGTTTTACAACTAACAGCGCGCCAAGTTTCGAGGGAGTTTAACACTGTTCCAATTTCGTAAACGTTATTCCCTTATACGCGTACATGCTAATATAACTTACTGCGCCGAGACGCCGCACGACACGCTCGAATTCGTTTAATCAACGGAAAGCGTCCAATTACAGGATTAATAGAAGAAAAAAAATCAATTAACTCTCTCTCAAAAGCTCAATTAATTGAATACCAAAAGAAAAACATAAAAAAAAAAAAAAAAAAAAAAAAAAAAAATATCTTATGCAATAAGTGATAAACGCAAAGAGGTTGATAAAAACACACGGTGCAAATCCGCAGATGGAAAAACGCACAATTGAGATGCATTACAGGCGAACCGCCGCAATACAAGTTCCCCTGCGCGACTCCACTCGGAANACGCCGCACGACACGCTCGAATTCGTTTAATCAACGGAAAGCGTCCAATTACAGGATTAATAGAAGAAAAAAAATCAATTAACTCTCTCTCAAAAAAACAATAAATAGAATAAAAAAAGAAAAAAAAAAAAAAAAAAAAAAAAAAAAAAAAAAAAACAATCAACCGCAATAAGTGACAAACGCAGCGAGGCTGTGAAAAACGCACGGTGCAAATCCGCAGATGGAAAAACGCACAATTGAGATGCATTACAGGCGAACCGCCGCAATACAAGTTCCCCTGCGCGACTCCACTCGGAAAATCCTCTTCCGCCGTGTCGGTATCGCGGTTGACGTCGTGTCGAGAGAAGGGAGGGTGGCACGAGGGGTATGTATGTGCGACGAAACGTCGCTCACGGGCAATTTGTTTGGCCGGCGTGCAGCGCGATCGTTAAGCCGATTAACGCAATCACGCGCGAGGCAGATCGGGATCGATGGCGAACATCGTTCGTTTCGTATAATACCCGCATTATCTGTCATTAAGCGCGAGTCGGCCGGCGATTTTACACCGGATCTCCTCTTTCCCTCCCCCCCCATGGGCTTCGCCGTTTTATTCGTTTTCCGTCCCACCGACGACGTGGCCGCTACATATTTTACGCACACCTATCGCGCGCGCGCGCTTTTTTTTTTCAATTCCGAGCAGAATTCCGCGCTTAAAACGCTACCGTCAACACCGAGTCCGTATTACATGGACTCGAACGGTCGCTTTCAAGTTCGCACAAAAAAATCGAACGATCGCGACGACAAAAGTTAACGCCAAAACCGAAACATGCTCGTTAAGAGATAGAGTGTCTGGCGCGACGAATTTTTCTACATCACATTATTATTCTCTACATTTCTTCATTGCTACTATTGTATTTTTATTGTCAATTGTTAAGTTTTTTCGAGGATCACAGAGATCATTGTTCGTGCGAGGACAAAACATTTTTTCAGGCGCGTAATTCGCATCTTTTCTGTTTGGGAATTTTTTTCGCGAATGCTCGAGCTCTCGACGTGGTTAATTCAATTTTTCTTTTTTCCTCGCCGACATGCGTAACAGGGCTTGGAATATAGGTGGAGAACCGGAATGAGAGAGAAAGCGGAAAAAGCACGTAGACGTTGCGTCGGCGAGGTAAACGATGTTGCGTTGTCAACGAAAGGCAGGTAACCATCAGGCGGAAAACCCGACGGAATCGCATTAACAATAAGTGCATTAAAGTGAGAGTTTCTCCTTCGAGAGAGGTGAAAGGGAAAGAGAGAGAGAGAGAGAGAGAGAGAGAGAGAGAGAGAGAGAGAGGGCGGAAAGCAAGGCGGAAAGGATAGAAACGCCTACGCCGAGAAAGTGCGAGACCCAATTATTCAACCAAATGGGGAGGATACGTTATTTTCCGGACGAGTCGGTCGGTTCCCTTCGTTCCTGTGCCATGTATCGCGTGTTCTTTCTCGGTCGCGTCCCGAAAAAAAATAAAAAATAAAATAAAACGCTCTTTGAAGCGCGCTAGTTCCCGTGGCTTTGCTAATTGCGTAAAACGTCAAAGCGTTTAGACGGAGGAAAGCGCAGAAACCAAGATCATCAGACGTAATTAGATCACTCTGGTATTTATTCTTGTTTAGTTGCAAACTACACTTTTTGTTTTACTACACAGAGAAATCTGAGAGCGTGCGCTTTCTTTTTGCCTTCCGTCACAACATTATGCGAATAGGCAAGCAGATAAAGAATTGTGACCAACTTCTCTCAAGGGTCTGAAAGAAGCGGACTTCGAATTAAAAAAGAAAAAGGGTTAAAAGATTGTGCGAGATGTCGGGAGTATATTTGAACATAAAGTAACACCTCTAAGGATATGAATTTCTAAAGGAGAGCGCACGAGAGAGAGGAGAGAGAGAGAGAGAGAGAAAGAGAGAGAACGCTGGTCGTTCAGGCAGATGGCTTCCTTGCGAAACGAGCGAATCTCAAAGGATTAAGTAATTAAAGCTGTAATTAAATTCGTTATCCTCCTAATCTCTTCGGTAAAATTCCTAATTAAACGTGGCGCCTAATTCTATGCAGTTTTAATCAAAACAAAGATATTTGTATATTGATACAAAATATTATTTTGTTCATGAAATATAATTCTTTGCTCGTTATAACACCGTTTACACACGTTTGTATGTATTTTGCGTATTCAAGTTAAATCTAACAATTTGTCGGTTATTTCATTAATCTTGAAGAAGGAATTATATTGAATACAATTTTATCGAGACACTCGCCCCATTCGCAACAAGTCAGCTCAAAGATACAATCAATACGGTCGAGAAACACAATTATGCTCTCCGAGAACGAATGTCCCGAGGCGCCGAGACAATTCGTCCCCCTCAATCTTGTCCCCCGACGACGACGACGACGTAACGTAACGTTTTTACGCGAAGAAATGCGCGGGAGAACGGCAAAAAAAGGGAAACAGAGGGAAACGCACCTGTCGATCTAACGGACGGACGTTCGACAACGAGTTATACTTTTCGCGACGACGCCGCCGAGCCACGTGGGAGTCACGGAGTGTTCCCGGAAATCGACGGAGACTTGCGTTTCCCCCGCGAAAGACTTTCATCCACTTTGGTCGTTTTAGCCGCGGTTTTATCGACGGTAAATCTGTCGCTGACTCGCGTAGCGGTAGTAAGATTTCTTTCGAGAAGTCAGAAGAGAGAAAAGAGAAAGGTGTCACACTTCAGCCGCGGAGACGTGGAAAACGAAGACGAAAATTAGATCGACAGATTTTGTCTCGCTCGATATTACAAGCGACTTACGTTCCGTGTTGCGAGGCGAGTTCGCACAGGAACGAATGGAGAGATCGTGTCCGTTGAATCGCGACAATTCGCGAGATGATTCCACGAGTTTACGAATTTACCGAAGATAAACACATTCGAGATTTAAATCAAGACAGAAGACGATGAACTAATCACTTAATTAATTAACATAATAATATCAAATAAAAATATAGTTGGCTTTAACAACTTTTAACTTATTAATTAAAAGTAATGTGACGCTAATGTGACATAGATTCCTGTATTTTAGTCGGCAAGTTTCCGCGCAACAAATGTCAAATTTCGGGAATTGAGTTCTCGGCGGATTTGTTTATCGAGAAACAATTGCCTGATAGAAGCGAACGTAGAGCGACCGCGCGCGCTGCGTTTCGAACTATCCAAATGTTTACAACTGCCTCGCTCTCTGCTTCGTACCATCTCTTTAATAGATATACAACAGACTGCACGGTAGTTACTCAAGATGCGTAGTTGGCAAGCAAGTCTCTCGTGTGGCTGAGCAAACCGTATTGTCTCGTTCCGTTTCCACGCATGCCGAAGAGACGGGTGAGCGGTGGCCAAATGGAATTTAATCGACAATGTGCGTGAAGATATATTACCTGCAATCTCAATTACGCGGAAAATGCAAATTTAATATATATCGAGGCTGTCGAGAGAGGTCTTTACGAATAGGATCTCTTGCTGGGGAAACCTGCCCCCTCGAGATAGTTGGCATTCCCAAGAGGCTACGCCAGAAGCCACTTAAAAGCAACAACGCCGAAATACTGCCGTACACTTTTTGACATTACCGCGCGACGTACGAGTTTGATTTTTTTTCCACTTCATAAAGTCACACGTGAAAGTATGTTCAAACTGTGTTATCAATCTGTATTTTGCCTGCAAATCTTATTAACAATACGTATGTGTGTGTGTGTGTGTGTATGCAGAGAATTTCTGAAATTTATCAAATATTGCATATTTTTGTAACACTCACACGCGTGCTCTTGACAGTGATTAAATTTGCAACACATATTCGTGCTAAATGCGAGAAATTCGTATCAATAATTCCCGCGAGAGTGCGCAATATTTTCCCTTGAATTTCCGATTGTCCGGATATAAATTACGCATCGCGCAATTATTCCGGGAAATAATACAAGCACGTCACGATACACGCGAAATCTCCGGGCCCCTTCTTGCGAACGCGCGCGTCGGGAATATCAAAGCGCCGATTCTTTTCAAATGAAAATTTGTGCGGCGCTTTCATCCGATATGGCGTATCGCGATTTAAACGACGCTTCATTAAATCCGGAGATCCTTCTCGAGGGTTGACGGACAGCAGAAGGGATTCCCGAATGGATGGATAGAAGGAAGGAAGGAAGGATGGGGAGGGACTTTTGAAAAGACAGGTCTCGTTAAGGCGACGCAGCATTATAATGCCTCGTGCTTGTCACTAATGGTGACAGGCACGAGGCTGCTCATCGGCGTATTATATCGCGTCCTCGTGACGAA